TAACCTGAATTAAACAGATGACACAACCTTGCTTCCAGAATGTGAAAACGCCTTGAAGCACATACCACAGAAGATCAAAAACTACAGCCTTCAATATAGATTACATCTCAATATCAAAAAAGCAAAAATCCTCACCACTGGGGCAATAAACCACATTATGGTAAATGGAGAAATAAAAAATTTCATTTTCCTTGGATCTACAATAGACATCCAAAGTAACAGTAGTCAAAAAAATCAAGACATATTGCATTTGGAAAATCTATTGTCAAAGACCTCTTTAAAGTGTTAAAGTGCAAGAATATCAGTTTAAACACTAGTATCAGCATACACCTGATATAAGCCATGGTATTTTCAATTCTTCCTATGCATCTGAAAGTTGAATGAGTAAGGATGATAGAAGAATAAATTCCTTTGAATTGTGTTGGGAAAAGATATTGAATAACAGTGGCATTGTGCAGTATTTATCCTTTTGTGACTGAGGTGTATCACTCAGCATAACGTCCTCCAAGGTCACCCATTGCATATAATATTCTAGGAGTTCCTTGGGATGAGTATGGAGGAAAATGTGCAACAATGAATTAATGGAAATCCAAGTTCTCTATAAACTTTTATTAAAATCTCAATTAAAATTTAAAAAAGAAAGCATATTGAATTTAACACGCACAGCCAAAGAACACATCATCTGTATTGGAGAACATGCTGCCAGGGTATTTCTTTGAAGCAAAGATGGTCAAACTTTATCTCATACGTTTTGAGCATGTTGTCAGGAGGCGGAAGCCCTCAGAAAAAGATACCATGCTGGGAAAGGTGGAGGATCAGAAAAAGAGAAGACCTTCAACTGGGAAATGACACGGTGACTCTAACAATGGGCTCAAGCATGCCAAAGAGCAAAGATGGTAAAGATAGTGAAGGACAGGACAAGATTCTGATATGTTGTTTTTCGGGTCACCAGGTTGTGCCAAGAACTCTGGAGGACAGCTATCTGACCAACTGCCTGGAAGACTCGAAATAAATATGGGCTAGAAGAGATCCATATTTATTCCCATTCCAAAAAGAAAAGATGATCCAACTGAGTGTGAAAATTACTGAGCAGTAACACTAATATCACACACAAGCAAAATTATGCTTAAGATTACCCAAAAGGAGGAACGGGAGAGCATTATGGTAAGTGAACTAACTCAGTTCCATGAGGACAAATACTGTATAAGACTATTATTGTAGAAATAAAAAGACTAGTAAAACATTTATGAGGTTCCAAATGGGGAGTGTGTGAGCAGAGGGTCACACAATCGCACAATTTGATGGGTGGAGGGAGGGGTGGATAAAGGAAATGGGAAAGATCCAGTGTGAAAAACAATGTATATGAACTTTGTAAGTAAGCCAGTATAAAACCTGCCAGGGACCTCTCCAGGGTGCTAAAGAGCAATGATGTCAGTCTGGAGAATAAGGTGTCCCTGATCCAAGCCATGGTCTTCACAATTACTTGGTATTTATTGGAGAGCTGGATAATGACTAAGGATGACCAATGCCTTTGAGCTGGGGGTGCTGGAGAATAGTACTGAATATACCATAGACTGCCAAGAGAACAAGCAAGTGTGTCCTGAAGAGAACAACCATGTTGTTCCAATGAGGCAAGGATTTTGAAACTCTGTCTCATATACTTTTGGAATGTTACCAGGAGGAACTAGTCTTTTCAGAAGAACATGATGCTTGGAAGGATGGAAGGTCAGCTCAGGAGAGGAAGACCCTGGATGAGATGGATTGACACAGAGACTGTGGCGATGGGGGGGCAGGGGTGTCTGAGACAGTCAGATTGGCTCTAAATAGGGTAGGATTCAGAGCTAACATTCATAGGGTCGCTATGAATCATAGTTGACTCAACAGCAAACAACAACATTACTCCTCATTGATTTGATGGAACCTAACAACAGCATCATATCACAAGAAAGTTCTGGAGGCACAGTCCAACAAGAGTTCCATTTCTCTGGCAGTTTGAAGCCACTTGTCAGTCCAAGAAACAAACATAGGCAATCTCCTCGATTTAGAGGCTGGGAACCTGCCGGAGAGCCAGCTCTATGTTGCTTCTGACTCAACAGCAGTGAGAGAAAGAGCCCCATCATCCCTGCTAACAAATGCCATCAGTAGTCCAGTAAGGTCAACAGCGCCAGAAATGAAAGGAAAATAAACCTCACTGTGCCTTTTGTTTGTGCCACTGACTTGAGGGGAGTGTCCAGTTCTTCCAGATTATAGAGCTGAGTTATCTGTCCTGCCACACACTGTGAGAACTTTATGGTGAATACGTGACCCAGACAGCCTTCAAAGGGAGCTAGGATAGCCAATGTTTACCCCAAATAAAATGTATCAAGACGGAACAAAGTATTCTACTCCATTCCCAAAGACTCAGAAAAGCAGATATGCCTGTGAAATTTATGCTTCATTTTAACTATGACTGTCCTTCATCTGTTAAGACTTTGGAGCCAACACCCACTTACTACCCTCCCCCATCTACGTGAACCTTTGGAATAAGTAATTTATTTCCCCCCCCCAACAGCAGAAATAATTGAAATCAAGATTTGAGACCATGTGGCTCTTATCAGGAATCCAAAAGGATATTTTGTTTCCCTCTGAGTTGAAGATAATGTCTCTGAATGTAAAAAATGTGTTTTTTTAACACTCAAGAGGATATTGTCAAACTTTCTTAGACTGTAGTCAATGTTTTGTTCTCTACTTTTCTTGCAAGTTGGGCACAGGGAGCTCTCAGTAGTGCTGAAAGGCAACAGGACATGGAGGTGTCAAGCCTAATGGTTGATAGACACAGAACCTTGAATGAACTGCTAAGGTATTTTCAGAGCTTTTTTTTAAAAAAGAGATCTAAAAGATCACATTATAGCATGATTCTGTTGACAAAACATTGTGAAATTGGCAAAATATGCAAAACAGATTTACAGTTGTCAGGAGGATTACACAGAGACTGGAAGGGAGTCTGATGTAACTGCTGTTGTGTGTCATGGAGTAGCCTCTGAGTCATAGTGACCCACGTGACAGAGTAACAGTGACGTCACTAAGGTAGGTGTCATCCACTGTGGTACCATCCACTCCTGGTATCATCTCCAGGCCACACTGAATCCTAAATAAAGTATCAGTCTTAATCATAGGATAGTAAGTGATATAGTTGTAAATTTTTAAAATGTATTCTTTTTTCTATTTTATGAGTGTTAACAACCAACTTCTATTATAACATCATCCTCCACTGAATGATAGAATTATTGTTGTTATTGTTTTTGTTAAGTGCCAATAGAGTCAACTCCAATCTAAGCAAAGCCCCACCCTATCATGTACCATCCTCATGACCTCTGACTGGCATAAGCCCACTAACACTGAGTCAGTCCATTTCCTTGAGGGTCTTCCTCTCCTTTGCTAATCCCCTAGTTTCCCAAGCAAGATTTTTTCAAGTATTGACTCCTCCTGTTATCATGCCCAAAGTATGTGAGATAAATAACTGTCTTGGCTCTGAGGAGCACTCGGTCATCCAAAACAGTATTGTCAGTTACATTCATAGTACCATCATAGTAACTGAGAGAATTTTTTTGTTTAATTCTTCATCATCATTTCTTTAATTACTTTGTTCTCAAAAAAAGGTCTTGGTATAGGTTCACAAATGTTAATTATCACAATATTATTCCTAAAGCATAAAAAAGTAACAAAATTACCAAGGAAAATAATATACAAGGCAACAATGAAAGCCACAGCACATGCTTAGAGGCTTAGAGTGTGGAAGCAACATGATCAAAGCATCGCTGGATTGGGTAACACTGACAGCTCTGACTGGAGCAAGTCAGAAGGTTCACAAAGCAAATTAGCATGCGATTTTAGCCCTGTAGATACACTGGCGTGTGTAAAGTGGGACTATGAAAAATATTTCTACTATTATAACTAAGTAGGGTAATATATTTGAAAAAAATAGTTTCTACTGAAACACTGCAAAGAAATTTTATACATGGTCATTATGGTGTCATCTCCTTTGACAGTATCATCCAGTGTGGTCCATGCCCCATCTTCAGCCCACATCACCCTGGTGACACGGCTGTAGGGGAGGAATGTCCCCTAAGTTTTCTTGGCTGTGATCTTTACAGGAACAGATCACCATATTTTTCTCCTTCAGATCTACTGGTCGGATTCCAACCCCAGTCTTTCAGTTAGCAGCCAAAGCACCAAACTTCAAAGGTAGCACAAGGAAAATTGTTGTGATGATGGTAGTTCTTTGCTTTATCATAGTAGCAGTTACACAAATCTACCAGGGATGAAATGACATAGAGATTGTACTTACACACACATTGTACTAATGTTAATTTCCTGATTTTGACAATGAACTATAATTAGGCCAGCTGTAATCTTTGGAGGAAACTGGGCAAAGATATCCCAGAACTCCAGGTACTATCTCCATAACATGCTGTGAATCTATAATTATTGTACTCCTGCATACAGTTATATAACATAAGAACACATGATTGAAAGGTATCAGATTTTTTAAAAAGGGTTCTGTGACTATGTTAGTAAAGGATTGCTTTAAAAGATAAGGAGGAATTAAATGTAATGAAATGTGTTCTCAGGGGTATAATAAAATCGTTTCATTTAAGTAGGGCTTTCAACCATTCCATTGCTTTCAAGGTATTCAGGGAAGGAAATTAGAAACGCAAACCCTTTTGCTTAGATAACTTTAAAAGTCAGTTTAGTCATATAAGTTACAATATTCTGTTTCCATATAACACATTTCTCCCACTTGGGATAACTCCAGGAAATACAGCCAGTGCCTGTGTAGCCCCATCTACTACGCCAGAAAGATTTCTTAAAGCATTCCTGATGGTGATAGCATCTCTCCTTAAAGAGTCTCACACTGTCTTGACGTCTTTGCTACATTTCTTTTTCATGTCTACCTTCATCCGACTCCCCACGTCAAAGCAAAGCAGGCAAACCTGTGAGCAGGGCTGTGTCCCGAGGCGATGGCCACTCGCAGTGCTTCCCTGGATGGCGACCCTGCTCATGCTCCCCGGGCCCTGTTCACCGCACACCCAGGCAGGAGGTGCGCGCCACGCGGGAGCCCTGAGCCAGCGCGGAGAGATGCACCTGGGAGCCCTGCTAGGAATCCCAGCACTGCAAATAGAGCAGCTGCTGACCAGCTGTCGGCCAAGGTCGTCTCTTAATGAATTACATCTTTTTTTTTTCCTTCTTCTTAACATTTTATAGTACTCTGAATGTACCCACTGTTTTAAAATAATGCCAAAACAAAGAGCAAAGTCCCTGTCCTGAGGAGTATTCAGTATAAAAGGAGAGAATGACGCAAGGCAAAACGACAGGACAAACACAGGGTAGGTAGAAATAGTTACAGGAGAAAGGTAAAGCAGAATCAATGAGACTTTTCATGGTCCAAAAAAGGAAGAGTAGATCAGGGCCCCAAGTCCTTACAGCAGAAAATTAGACATCAAGATTAGAAATGGTATCAATGTAATAATGACATTTTATTGAATGCTTTATTATATACCATGCAGGAGCTTCACAGCAATTCTACAAGACAGGTACCCTTAATGTAGCTAATTGGAAAACTAGGGCTTCCTTTTTAATGCTTAATTTAATAAATAGGGAACTCTGGTAGCCTAGTGGTAAGGAGTTGTGCTGCCAACCCAAAGTCAAGAGGTTCAAATTGACTAGCTGTTCTGGGAGCAACAGATGGACAATCTCCTCCCATGTAATTTAAAGCCCCTGAAAACCCAGTGGAGCATCAGAAAGGAGTCAGTTCTGACTCGGTAACACATAACAACAACAACAGTTTAATAAATACACGTAGTGATTTCAGGTGCCACACATGATTTAAAGGTATTACAAATATTATAACAGATTTAGTTCTCATAAAAATCACTTTGAGGAGGGAGCTTTGGTGGCTTAGTGGCAAGAAGTTGCACTGCAATCCCAGAGGCACATGGTTTGAATCCACCAGATGCTCTGCTGGAGAAAGAGGAACAATCTCCTCTTGTACCACTCAGATCCAATTTGACAGCATACGCACAAAAAATAAAATTTTTTCTCATTTTATTTTATTATTTTGTGTGTGTGTACTGTCAAACCGGATCTGACTGGTACAGGACGAGAGTGCTCCTCCTCCAGCAGAGAATCTGGTGGATTCGAACTGCGTACCCCCTGAGATTGCAGTGCAGCTTCTTACCACTAGGCCACCAGAGCTCCCTTTAAAAAAAATTGTAAAAAATCCCTTTGAGGAAGGAATTGCTATTTCCTTCATTTTATAGAAGGAAACAATGAACTCGTTCAAGTTCATTTCCCTAGAAAGATGTAGAACCCAAATTTAGAAGCCAAGAAGTCCAAATAGCAGATCCAAGATGTGAACAACGAAGCCTGCGGAGGAGTCCCTGAGTGAAGTCCCTGACTGGAGGCCCTGACAATCCTGGTTTGATACTCATAATCTCTCAGCACAGTCTGGCTTGTACTCAATCATGGGCAATAAGTGATTTAAAAAATAATTTCACTAACTATCCAAAATGACTCAAATGTTCTTCGCAGGGCAAGAGTTCAATGAAAAAAAAGTCTCAAAATATTAAAAAATCAAGCCAAGATGTTCATGTGGTGTTGAAGCTTTGGAAGAGTGGGTTCAGCCTGGACAATGGCGAACTCAGAAGCTACCAAGACCCATCCAACGCCCAGTTTCTGGAGTCTATCCGCAGAGGGGAGATGCCAGCAGAGCTGCGGAGGTTAGCTCACGGCGGGCAGGTAAACGTGGACATGGAGGACCATCGGGATGAGGACTACGTGAAGCCCAAGGGAGCCTTCAAAGCTTTCACTGGCGAGGGTCAGAAACTTGGCAGCACAGCTCCCCAGGTGTTGAATACCAGCTCTCCAGCACAACAGGCAGCAAACGAAGCCAAAGCCAGCTCTTCCATCGCAATCAACGAGTCAGAGCCCACCACAAATGTCCAAATACGGCTCGCTGACGGCGGGAGGCTGGTGCACAGCTTTGTCCTCATGACTACCTTCCCGAACAAAGAGCTGGCTGACGAGAACCAGACGTTGAAGGAAGCCAACCTGCTCAATGCTGTCATCGTGCAGCGGTTAACATAACGCCCTCAGGCTGCTCCCCCTGAGCCCCCACCTTGGCCAGGCCTGGGGTTGCCCCTCCCGCCCCTGCACACCCAGCGGTCCAGTGCCACATCTCCTTCCGCTCCATAGCTCTGGGTTCTTAGATCTCAGTTGGACATTTGTTTTCTCCTTAGTTTCATTTTCTGGGGTTTTGTGAGGATCAGTGGACTTTAAAGAAAAAAAGAATAAAAATGACGGAAAAAAATACAAACCAAATGCTTTAAAATGTAAAGAACAGACTTTCATCCTTCCTGTGACTAACGTGAACTGAGTGTCAGTGTCAGGTGAGGCACGTGTGCGACAGCACTGATCAAAACAAATGAAAACAACAGGAAATTGAAGATGTCCATCTGAATGATAGGTGCACTCTATGTTTCACAATGGGGGGAACAGCCAACAGGGAAAAAGAGAGAAGGTTTTATCTTTATATTATGCAAAGGAATGATGCTGTTCTGGGTCAGGCTATCCTGTAGGAGCATTATTTAGTCTTTTAAAAATTTTGTTCTATCATTTTCTCCCTTTTAATGGCTCCATTTTAACCATTCTTCCTCTCCAGTTTCTCCCATTAACAACAGAAAAGTCTACTTTGTTCTGTTCCACTGCTGTACTTTGGAAACAGAGAACTCATATTCTGTTTCACAGGTTAACAGAACAGGAATAATGCCCCAGGATAGGAAATGCACTATTGAAAAATATTTGTTATGGCCATTTGTTAGCACTTGAATCATGCTTTGAGTATTGCCATTGAGGCAGAACTGACTCATAGCTGATCCCCAGCAGGTTTCCAAACTTTAAATTGCATGGAAGGAGACTACCCATATTTCTCCCAAAGAGCCACTGCTGGATTTGAACCCCCAGAGATGTCTTTGAGTTAGCAGCACAACCTCCTCTGGACTATGTGACCAGAGCTCTATATGTTTTGGATGTTGTGTTCCATCAATTTATAATGTACCCATAGCCATATCAAAAGGAATTGGCAGACAACAGAAGAATTTAATGAAATAACATATGAGCAAGAGCCTGTGGTGATGAAAGAAGAAGTTCAAGCTACTTTGAAGGAAATAGCGAATAATAAGGTCCCAGGAATAGATGGTATACCAATTGATGTATTTCAGCTAACAGATGCTGCCCTAGATGTGCTCTTCAAGTTGTGCCAAGAAATCTGGAGAACAATGACTTGGCCAATTGACTGGAAGAGATCTATATTTGTTCCCATCCCCAAGAAGGGTGACCCAACAGAGTGTGGAAACTACAGAGTAATATCATTGATTTCACATGAAAGCAAGATTCTACCGAAGATTATCCAAAAATGACTGGAACAGCACAACAGCAGAGAACTGCCAGAAATCCAGGCTGGGTTTAGAAGGGGTCATGGTACTAGGGATATTGTAGCTAGTGTTAGATGGATCTTAGCTGAAAGCAGGGAATACCAAAAGAATGTCTATCTGTGTTTCATTGATTATGCAAAGGCATTTGACTGCATGGACCATAACAAACTGTGGCTGACTCTGAGAAGAATGGGAATCCCAGAACATTTGATTGTGCTAATGAGAAACCTATACTTGGACCAAAAGGCAGTCATCAG